ACATTCGGTAAAATGTGATGACGTTGCTTCAGGAGACGATAAACGTGAGGCAGTGACAACAGCGCCCCCGCGTGGCGGGAGGAATCCTCTCCTGCATCTGCACGATGATCTGCACAGGTGGGAATGGTGGGAAAAACAATCTTGATGGTTCTGGAAAACGGAAACAGCTGGAAATGGACTACAACTCCACAGCAGCTATTATTTTTAACCTTTTCAAAATTAGCTGTTTCACAGAATAAGTAAACTATCAAATCTACAGATAACCTAAGGCTATAACTTTACTCTAACGAAATACATGAACCTACTGTGCTATCCTTCAACCAGACATTTAAGATCAACAGCGGTCAATAAACATCATTTTTCTCATCCAGATGTTGTTTTGCCCTTAGTTTGTTTTCCATCTTAAGTTTTCAGTCTCCAACACCCTGTGTGATATTATGTTTTGAATGTTATAATCACATTTCACGTGCACATTTTACAGCAGCTAAAGGTGTCATTTCAGTTCTTTCTATATAAACTAAAGTATGAGGGAGTCAGAGCACCTTTCTGAGATTGTGGTTTGAGCAGGTCAAAGTAACTCCTATCCAGATTATGCGTTTCTAAGAAATAGATTCTTGAAAATATACAAATGCATAATCTGGATCAGCATTATGAGATATTTTGACCATCTTTTTCTCTAAAAATCTAAATTACATATATGTTTGAATTCTGGTTATAGTGTAGGTGACCATTTAGCATAATCAAAATATATTTTTTTGTAACCTGGATTTTAGGGGAAAAAATCCTTAAAATAACAAAAACGCATAATCTGGATTAGTGTTATGAGGCACTTTATGACAGCACCCTGTTACGATTGCAGCGGTCTGAGGCATCGCTTGTAATTTAACAGTTCCAGTCCATATTAGATCTCCACAGGCAACCATCATGACTACAGCTTTGCATGGGAGCCAGTCTGCCGTGCGGGTGGGATATTCCGGTCCAAGGAGCCCTTCTTAGCTTCTTGGGTTATCCAAGTTAGCTAGTAGCTACACTGGTTCATTTGTTCCAACCCTGTTCCAAACTGAGCAGCGCCACCCTTAGCTCCACCTCTTTCCCCATTTTTGGATTGTCTGGGCATGACGGGACCTGTGACACAGTCAAAATGGCAGCGATGGGAACCTCCCACTTGGGCACAAATTGTCCAGTATACATGTCAATGGTTTTAATCTGTTCCTCACCTTGTGAAGCAGCTTGGTTCAGCTATAACTGTGGTAAACTGACTATAGAATTAAAATGAACCCCATGGTTCAGATTTAGACAAAGTAAAACTATAATGAGAAAAGTTTGAACATTTTTGTCATGGTCTGCGTCTGCGTCTCCCTCATGTGTCTCCTTGTGTGCTCCATCCCCCTCTAAGGATCCCCTTATGTGTCTCTTTGTGTTCCTCATGTGTCCCCTGGTCTTCAGCCCTCCAGATGATCCCTCCCAGGTCCTGTGTTCCTTTGGTCTCCCCCAGTCACCCCTCTGCAGTTTTTTTAGGTTCAGCTTTTCATTTTATTAGTCTCTTTAGTGTGTTTTCCCACAGGTTTTTGTAGATGTCCTTCCCCCTTAGAAAATTAGTTATTTTGCTGCTTTTCTTGTCTTTAGGTTTTTACTCTTAGGTCATGTTAGTTTCCACCAGGATTAGTTAATTGCTTTCACTTGGTTTCTCTCCCCACACACCTGCAGCCTATCTGTCTCCCATCATGCCCCAGTGTACATAACCCTGTTTGTCACCTTTGTCTCGTTTCCCTTTCTAGTCTTGGATCTTCGTTTTGGATTCTAGGTTTTGTATTTTGGGACTTTGATTTTGTGTTTTGGCTCCCTGCCTTTTTGGACTGATCATTAATAAAAGGATTTTTACTAGTGATGGAATGATGATACCTCAAGGAGTGTATTGACACACTAGACAAACTGTGTCGGCACTGTACTGACACTGTGTTGGTCACTCAATAGCGACACCTGCAGTATTTCTAAAATCATTGCAGGTAAATAAGATGGAAAAGCTTACATGCTGCAAACCCACACCAGGTGTGCAAAATTTAATTTCCTGTAATCAAAATATATCATTATGTAATTTAATTTACTCAATTTAAGTTAAGTTGTTTATGAAAGGAGTTTAACATTTGCTTATAACCTTTGTGTAAATGTTACAATGAGTTGGCATGTTAAATCTGAATGTGTCTAATAAAAATCAGAAGTAAAAGTTTTAACTTATGTAAATGTGTTAACCTCTGTGTTAGATCATACAAAATAAAAGACTAAATATGGATTCATTTATGCATTTTTATTGAGGAACAAAAGTTTGTGCAGTGTGTTTGCTCCAAGGCGATTTCTCCTCTTAGACACCAGTTCCCCTGCCTTAGAAAACACTCTTTCACAGGGTACAGATGAAGATGGTGTGCATAAGAATTGAAGTGCGAGTTGATAAAGGTGTGGATATAAATTCTGGTTATTTTTCCAATATTGTAATGGGTCTTGTGTTCTCGGTGCATTTCTTTCAGCCAGGTAGCGTTGGACTTCAATTATGGAATTGGCTGTAGTATTAGAGGTCATCCTGCTCTCCTCAACCTCCATATCAAGGTGCCTCCAGAGATTGTGTCCTAACAAATAAATTGGAAATAAGTCTGTTAATCATTGGTTTACTATCACATGACAAACTTCCGCAGAAATAAACAAATATTCACAAAGAAATGTGTTTTCATACCTGAACTGTGTTCTGATCCACGTGAAGTGCTAGGCTCCTCTACTGCTGGGTCAGGCTCATGGCTCCTCATTTCAGCAGCACACTCTGACTTCAGTCTCTTGACAGCTTCAGTTGCTTTCAGTGGACTAAAAAAGCCAGCAGTTTTAAACCTGGGGTCCAACAATGTTGCCAGTGACATCACACTGAGCGATTCCATGTTGCAGATGGACTCGGTTAGCCGCTTTGACAGATTTTCAGCCAGCTGTTTAGCAGTGGGTTTTGTCACCGTTGAAGATTGATGTTGAAGCTCAATGTGGATCATTCTCATCAATGGAATAACCTTTGACCCCGAGACTCTTTTTTCCTCAGAGAGTTCTCTTGTGGCTTGGTAAAAAGGAGCAAGCACCCTGAGCATCTCTTCAATGATTTCAAATTCTTCTGGAGTCAGTGGAGTGAGATCAGTTTTTAATGAGGCCAGTGACACCCAGACTGCCTCCTTCTGCTCAGTCAGTCTCTCCAGCATGTGGTAGGTGCTGTTCCATCGTGTCGGCACCTCATTTATTAATTTATGCAATGGTGTTCCCAGCTGTTGCTGCATTTGAGTGAGCTTTTCCTTGGCCATGGTGCTTGATCGAAAGTATGTCACAATTTGCCGTGCTTTGTTGCGTAGTTCTGTTAGTGTTGAGATTTGATCACATGATTTTCTTACAATTAAATTTATGGAATGGGCAATGCAAATGGTTTGCCGTACTTGCAGCATTCGAGCACATGCAATCATGTTTGCTGCTGCATCAGTGACAAGACACCTGACTTTGCCTGCTATGCCCCACTCCTTCATGAGGCTCCTTTTAACTGTGGCCATGTTTTCTGCAGTGTGTTTCTGAGGGAAATGCTGCACTCCCAAGACTGATGAACAGAGTTCATGGCTTTCTTTGTCCACATAGTGGCAAGTAACGGCAAGATATGCCTCCATATTAATGGATGTCCACATATCAGCTGTTAAACTAACAGCAATGACGCTCTGGAGGTCCTTTTTTGTTTTCTCCTTTTCCTCTTCATATTTCTGGCTCACCAAGTCCTTGATGACCTACAAGTAAACATACCAATACTGTAATACCAATGTTACACACACACACACACACACACACACACACACACACACACACACACACACACACACACACACACACACACACACACACACACACACACACACACACACACACACACCATGAAAGTAGTTGATTAATTAAAGCAAACATTTCTTAAACATACCTTCCTGCTTGGTAGAACATATGAGGGTGCAATAAGCTTCAGGAGCTCCCTGAATCCCTCATTTTCAACAATGGTGAGTGGCTGGCAGTCTTTGATGATCATGTTAACCACAGCATCATCCACTGCTTGCTTGTTAGGAACTGCAAGCCAAAAGGAAATACTTTTTTAAAAGCTTTAAAAAGCTTATGAAAAGGATTTTACAAGCAATACTACAGAGTCACACAAAGCCTTTTGTGTGTAATAGACTAATTTTGACAATTCAGATTTTTTGGTGATAATTTCAACATACCTGGGGTATCTACCAATTCATCGTTGCCATGCCGAGCTCTATAATGCCTCAGCATTGATGAAGTGCTCTTATTTGTGTAAGACAGCTCTGTGGAGCAGAGCCGACACTTCACCTACAATAAAATAAATAGTTAATTTATCTGAAAACAATTTAAGCCTCTTACCAGAGAAAGACTACAAACACATTTACAATACAGAAATAACAGTAAACGTTGCCAAATGGAGAAAACAATTTACCTTTTTTGGCGTCAAAAGATCAAAATTATTCCAGACTGGGGAAAACTTCTTGGAACGATCCATGAAGTCAGCGGAGAGAAGTGAGCGTGAGGTAAGGAAAAATCCAAAATCAAACAGCAAACAGCAAAACTCTAACCAACAAATCCGCAACATGTCGATACAGTTTGCTTCCTTATAAACACAATTTGGCGCGGCGCATCCAAACGACACACAATCCTGTGTCGGTCACGTGATATTTTCTTAAAGCGATACACGCACCGATACGGGGTTTCACTCTTGTGCAGTCGACACTGTGCTGACGCGCCAGTGTCGTTCGTCCCATCACTAATTTTTACTTTATTGCTCCACTAAGCGTCATCTGGTTCTCTGCATCTTTGGGTCCTAACCTCCTCTTGGCTCCCCATCGTGACAATTTTAACTCAAAACTAGTTCATTGCCAAGTCTTCAGGTTTGACTATGAACTGAAGTGTAGAAAACAAAAAACTGAGCAAAGATAAAACATTTAAAAGGTTTATTAAAAGGTGTTTGTGCATGTGTCCAGTGTCTGATGATCCAAGGACCCAGGTGTCGTAGGGTTCAGGTGTCAAAGTGTCAGTGTCCAGGGTTCCAGGTGTATAAGTGTCCAGTGTTCCAGGCGTCTGAGGGTCCAGGTGTCCAAGTGTGCAGGGTTACAGGTGTATAAGTGTCCAGTGTTCCAGGCGTCTGAGGGTCCAAGGTCCCAGGTGTCCAAGTGTCCAGGGTTCCAGGCGTCTGAGGGTCCAGGTGTCCAGTGTGCCAGGTGTCTGAGGGTCCAGAGATTCCAGGTGTCCAAGGGTCCAGTCTGGAATGAAAAAAGCCACAAATAACAGATTGAGTTAATTTACTAAAATGTGTGCGTGTCTGTGTGTGTGTGTGTGTGTGTGTGTGTGTGTGCGTGCGTGCGTGCGTGCTTGATGTGTGTGTTCGTGTGCATGCAATAAGAAAGGGGAGGTGGTGTCCTGACAGGGGAATCCTACTAGTTGCAGATAGCAGATTCCCAACTTACCATTGTCCCCACCCTCCAGAAAAAGAAAAGATAAAAAAAGTGACGTGTCTGTGGTGCAAAAAATAAGAGGACAGGTCCCAGGTGTCCAGTGTGCCAGGCGTCTGAGGGTCCAAGGTCCCAGGTGTCGTAGGGTCCAGGTGTCCAAGTGTCCAGGGTTCAAGGAGTCCAAGGGTCCAGTCTGGAATGAAAAAAGCCACAAATAACAGATTGAGTTAATTGACTAAAATGTGATGTGTGTGTGTGTGTGATGTGTGTGCATGTGTGTGTGTGTGTGTGTGCGATGTGTGTGCGTGCTTGATGTGTGTGCGTGTGTGCATGAGTGCGTGCGCGATGTGTGTGCGTGCGTGTGCGTGCGATGTGTGTGTGCATGTGTGCGTGCGTGCTTGATGTGTGTGTGTGTGTGTGTGTGTGCATGCAATAAGAAAGGGGAGGTGGTGTCCTGACAGGGGAATCCTACTAGTTGCAGATAGCAGATTCCCAACTTACCATTGTCCCCACCCTCCAGAAAAAGAAAGAAAAAACAAAACGTGACGTGTCTGTGGTGCAAAAACTAAGAGGACAGGTCAAGGGCCAGTGCAGGTGGTTGAAGGGTGAGGCTGCTGGTTGACAACCTCACCCATCCCACTCTCACCCTAGTCCCAAACCCTGTCCCACAAAGAATTAGTGTTTATCAGTGTGTGTGTGTGTGTGTGTGTGTGTGTGTGTGTGTGTGTGTGATGTGTGCGTGTGTGCGTGTGTGTGTGTGTGTGTGTGTGTGTGTGTGTGTGTGTGTGTGTGTGTGTGTGTGTGTGTGTGCGATGTGTGCGTGTGTGTGTGCGTGCGATGTGTGCGTGTGTGTGTGTGTGTGTGCGCGCGATGTGTGCGTGTGTGTGCGTGCGTGCGATGTGTGCATGTGTGTGTGTGTTTGATGTATGTGCGTACGTGTGCGATGTGTGTGCGTGTGTGTGTGCGATGTGTGTGCGTGCGTGCGTGCATGTGTGTCCGTGTGTGCGATGTGTGTGCGATGTGTGTGCGTGTATGCGTGTGCGATGTGTGTGTGTGTGTGTGTATACGTGCGCGATGTGTTTGTGTGTGTGCGTGAGTGCGTGTGTGTGTGTGTGTGTGTGTGTATGTGCGTGCGCGATGTGTTTGTGCGCGTGTGTGTGTGGTCACTGGTCTGAATGTGGGTTTACAAAAAGTAAAACTCTAGAAAAGTGAACACAACAAAGGATATATAAAAAGATATTCCAGATGTTGGTCACTGGCTGCGGCTGCTCCCCCCTGGGCTGCTGGACGCTGCAACAGAAAGATAAAAATACCATCAGTTCTGGGACTTTTTAAAGGAAACACTTAGCTTCAACAGCCTGAATAAAACCAACACAAACCTTCACACAAAGCATACAAACACACATGTAACGTTCATCTAAATCCATTCAACAGTCAAGCTGTGGTGACATCATCACATCTAATGATCCACAGAAATGTCTCTTACCTGCAGAGCTGGCGGCCGGCTCCTTCTTAACGCGTTTTGCCTTCTGGTCCCAAAAACACACACAAGAGTTTTATATCAGTAAGTGTTCATCAGCATCAGGTGTGTGAGTTCATGGTGTCTGAGCAGAGTGTACGTACAGGGTTGTAGTTGGGGACCCAGCCCGGGTGCTGGTGCATGTGGAGCCTCTGTTCCTCGTGAGCCTGGTCGAAGTAGATGCTCCTCTGCTCAGGAGACAGGTCCCTCCACTGTGAACAGAAGACAGTGAGACAAGCTGTTGGTGAAAAAGAATCCACGGAAGCAAAACCATCATCATTCTGTCGCAAACACACTTACCCTCTGGCCTACGACGGCGTTGACAGCAGCGCTGTCTTTCGGATTCAGCTCAGCCACCACCTTTGGCCTCTGGTCCCGCAGGAAGATCATGAAGGCATTTAGTGGCTTCTTCACATAGGGACGGTCCTGCTGCTGGTGCTCACGCTTTCTCTTACTGTAGAGACAAAACACAACATAAACCTGTCAGCATCTACATCCTGGAAATGTGGTACACTTTATAGATATTTTATTCTGAAACGGTCAAGTCAAAATTTACTTTGGTTTAGAGACTGGAGCACAACCAGGAGCAGCAGGTGGAATGTCAGGAAGAAGAAAGAATGGTGGCAGAGAAGAGACAGTGGAAGTATGAGGAGCAGAAACAGGATCAGCAGGTGGAATGCCAGGAAGAAGAAAGAATGGTGGCAGAGAAGAGACAGTGGAAGTATGAGGAGCAGAAACAGGATCAGCAGGTGGAATGCCAGGAAGAAGAAAGAATGGTGGCAGAGGAGAGACAGTGGAAGTATGAGGAGCAGAAACAGGAGCAGCAGGTGGAATGCCAGGAAGAAGAAAGAATGGTGGCAGAGAAGAGACAGTGGAAGTATGAGGAGGAGAAACAGGAGCAGCAGGTGGAATGTCAGGAAGAAGAAAGGATGGTGGCAGAGAAGAGACAGTGGAAGTATGAGGAGGAGAAACAGGAGCAGCAGGTGGAATGTCAGGAAGAAGAAAGGATGGTGGCAGAGAAGAGACAGTGGAAGTATGAGGAGCAGAAACAGGAGCAGCAGGTGGAATGTCAGGAAGAAGAAAGGATGGTGGCAGAGAAGAGACAGTGGAAGTATGAGGAGGAGAAACAGGAGCAGCAGGTGGAATGTCAGGAAGAAGAAAGGATGGTGGCAGAGAAGAGACAGTGGGAGTATGAGGAGGAGAAACAGGAGCAGCAGGTGGAATGTCAGGAAGAAGAAAGAATGGTGGCAGAGAAGAGACAGTGGAAGTATGAGGAGCAGAAACAGGAGCAGCAGGTGGAATGTCAGGAAGAAGAAAGGATGGTGGCAGAGAAGAGACAGTGGAAGTATGAGGAGGAGAAACAGGAGCAGCAGGTGGAATGTCAGGAAGAAGAAAGGATGGTGGCAGAGAAGAGACAGTGGAAGTATGAGGAGGAGAAACAGGAGCAGCAGGTGGAATGTCAGGAAGAAGAAAGGATGGTGGCAGAGAAGAGACAGTGGAAGTATGAGGAGCAGAAACAGGATCAGCAGGTGGAATGTCAGGAAGAAGAAAGGATGGTGGCAGAGAAGAGACAGTGGAAGTATGAGGAGGAGAAACAGGAGCAGCAGGTGGAATGTCAGGAAGAAGAAAGGATGGTGGCAGAGAAGAGACAGTGGACGTATGAGGTGAAGGCAGAGAAGAAACAACAGGAGGAGAGGGTGGGAGGTAAAGAAAAGCAGTAGGAGAAAGTGGAGGAGCTAAAAAATGAGATGGAGGAGGGGGAGGTGAATCAGGAGGAAAAGAAGGAAGGAAAGGTGAGGGAGAATGTCGAAGAAGAGGAGAAGGTGGAGGAGGAAAAGAAGGAAGGAGAGGTGAGGGAGGATGTTCAAGAAGAGGAGAAGGTGGAGGAGAAAAAGGAAAGGCCTGGTAGTCCTGAAGGATCTCGTCCAGAAGGGAGAAGTCCCCTATGTCACTCTCAAAACTCTCTAGGAGGTTCATGTTGTCCTCCATCGTTCTGTGACACAGGATGAGAAGAAGAAGCTTTAGAACCCGTCACAAGACGTCAGACATCATGGCATCAGAAACAGGAAACATCACATCCACTGTTACTGGTAACAAACTGATCTCTGATCAGTTTCTACAGTCAGATCCATGTTTATCACAGCGACCGAAGCAACAGCTGTTACATGTGAACCATTTCATCTCCAGCACTCTGTTTAAACACCAGTTTCTGAAGATTATTGTTGTGTTTTACTTCACTAAGTGAAACGTTTGGATTTCAGTTGTGAATTTAGTTTATTCTTCATGTTTTAAACCGAACACAGTCTCACTGGAGACACTTTATGCTACTGTCTCAGCAGGTTTCAGATCTATGAAGAGAACCTTTCAGTTGTGTTGTTTACATCAGGCTGTGCTTCGTTTTCTTATCCGGCTCGTTCAGAAACACACTTTTAGGATCAAACTGAGATGGAAACAAAAAGGATTTCTGTTCACATCCTTCTGCTCAGTTTTAGGTCAGATGTGAACGAAACAGCCACAGATCCCAGCTGAGAGTCAGCATCACTACAGCGACAAGAAACCACCGCGTGTAGATCTAGATTATAAAAGCACAGCTGGAGAAATCACTTTATTTTACTCTATGTGGTTTATTCAGCAGCCTTTGCTCTTTTTAATCAGGAACTCGTTCAACACTAGATCCATTTTTAAATGTAAACAAGTCTAAATAGTTTGTTCACTTAATATTATTAAAGTTATAACTTATTCACTGATGAAAAGTGGCATTTCTTTCTATTTCTGACAAACTGGTGCAGATATAAAGATCAGTCCCTTCTCCAGACACCACTACTGTACACGGCAGATAGCATGTAGGTCTAGTTACAGAAATATACGTTTATAACTCATATTTCAGATTCAAAGTAGTTTTATCTTGACTGTTTATCTGTAATCTGACCTGCTTAAGGGGTTTTTGTTTGATTTTCTTTTCCCAGCAGGTGTATTTTATATAAATGATAAAACCAGTTTACCTTGAGGGATGTTAAAGTCTCCCAGTAAAGTACAGGAAACTTTTCAGATATATCTCAAAGTCTAAACATGTCAGATGTTGGGCTAGGTTGTTTGTGAGTAGTTTTCTTACCTGCTAGAGGTGCTCTCTGGAAGACCAGTCAGCAAACACAGAGACCGCAGAGAAAAGGTCCTACTCTCTCGAGATGGAACTTGTACTGAAGTCTGAAATGTTCTAGCCTTAATAATAAAGCATTTTAAACGATGCACCTGAGCTGTAACTATGGTAACGCAAGATTCCACATTCTGTCATAGGTGACAGACAGCGCTCCATAGGGAGCTGAAGTCATGCCCATCTACTTCCAGACCATGGGTTCCCGGAAGAACAACAAAATGAATGCAAGTCAACAGGGCTAAAAATGCTATTTTCTAATTCCTTTTATTATGTGCCATGGATTTCACATATGATGTCCATGAAGATGCATTTTAATACCAAGAACGTGTTTATTTTCGAAAGGGAGGAAACGTTATTTTAAGTTTTGTGTAATAAGTCCAGGACTACAAATGTGCTTTGTGAAAGTGACATCAGCGAACCAGACACGGAGAAAAACAGGGCTAATGGCAGAGATTCTGTGGTGGCGTCATACATGCAACATGTCGATGTTGTATTTGTAGTCACGCTAACATCGAACATTTACAAGATGATACATTTCTAAGTACGTGACTGGGATGATTGAAACACGCATCG